TTTTTAAAAATTTATTTATTTTATGTGCATTGGTGTTTTGCCACGGGCGTCAGGTTCCCTGGAACTGGAATTACAGACAGTTGTGAGCTGCCATGTGGGTGCTGGGAATTGAACCCAGGTCCTCTGGAAGAGCAGTTGGTGCTCTTAACCACTGAACCATCTCTCCAGCCCACAGACTCTGCATTTTTAGTATGCTCCCAAGGTCATACCGAAGCTGTTGGTCTATGAATTGTACTTTAAGTAGCTATTCTAGGGGGTATCTGGGGTACCCCTTATCTATCCTCCTGAATCTCTGCTACAGGGCAGACCAAATAATGAGAGTGCCCTGGGTATTGGTAGTGTCTGGGGGAGGTGATAGAAGGGCCTGGATGCCAGCAAAGGATCCCGCCGAGGGTGTGGGCGGAGATTTGGAGTGGACTCTGAGCCCTGTTAGACGGTCTATTTCTTCTAGGTCCACCTGCGTGTACACAGTGGGGAGCGTCCATTTCAGTGTGCCCTGTGTCAGAAGAGCTTCACCCAGCTGGCCCACCTGCAGAAGCATCACCTGGTACACACCGGGGAGCGGCCCCACCAGTGCCGGGTGAGACCCTTTTACCCCTCACAGGCACACTTGCAGCTGGGTGAGGAGTTCTAGGTCCCTGGGGGGATGGCACCTGGGCCGCCTCTGTTTCCCAATCCCAAGTAAGTAAGATGGAGAGGAGAGGGTAGAGAGCTTGTGTGTGTGTGTGTGTGTGTGTGTGTGTGTGTGTGTGTGTGTGTCCGTCTGTGTGTGTACTTGAGCACGGGGTGGGCCACTGGAATGTGTGGTGTTGGAGGAGAAAATACAGCGGCACGTCTGTGCATGGAGAACACTGAAGTTGAAGATCTTGGAGCATGCACACCCTTCCCGGCCTCCCTGGTTGTTGAAGGAGCCATAGCACATGCAAAAAATCCAAACAGGCAAACAATTGGCTCAGTGCAGCTGCTTGAGTCTGCCCTCATTCTTGGGGAGAGCAGAGGCAGGGGGACTCTTCCTTTTACAGGAGCAGAAATGAGAGCAGTGTGGTGGTTCTGAGTCTAAGCGACAAAGTCAGACCGCTTTTCAAATCCTAGCTTCTCCTCCCAACTCGTGTGGCCGTTGGCTAGAGGCTGCCTTCCTCTGAGCCTCAGCTCTCTCCCTGGTGTTTAGTCTAGTCATGCTTCTTGGGAAGACTATGCACGGTCAGTTCCTGGCTTGACCAGCTCCCCAGTAAATGCTGACCACACCCACTGACGCTGCAGCCCCTGGCATCAGGGTCCGCCGAAGTGACTAACCTTATTCGGTCCTCCCTAACTAATGAGGTTAGGAATCAGTGCCATCTAGTACTGACAGAGAAAGAAAGAAACTCAGAGGGAAGTCACTCACACAGAGTCACACAGGAACAAGAGGAGAATGCCAGCCTCAGCCTGCCAGGCTCTAACGTGCCCTGCCGTGGGTCCCAGGGAGAAACAGTCAGAAAAGCTTCTGATCTGCGTTGACAGGGATGTGGGGTAGGGGAGGTGTGTCCAGGATGGGTGGGGTGGGGAGGGAGGCCCTGGGCCGGCTGCAGGGCAGGGATGACGTGGGTGCCCATCGCTGTCAGATCTGCCGCAGACGCTTCAGCAGCTCCAGCAACCTCAAGAGCCACCTCCGCCAGCACTCGGGGGCCCAGCCGTTGCTGTGGAACATCTGTTCCGGTCGCTTCACCCCGCATGTCCATCTGAAGCTGCACCATGGGCAGCAAGCTCCTGGGCCCCTGGACCACACCCACCTGCCCCTCGCCTCTCTCACCTGCCTTGCCCAGTGGCACCAAGGAGCACTAGATCTTGTGGAAGCATCGTCAGAGAAGATGGGCTGGGATGTGGACAAGGTCAAGGAGTCCCCGGTGTCCCGGGGAAGGCAAGGGCAGCCGGCCTGAGCAGTGGTGCAAGGGTTTCTCTGGGAACAGAGTGTTGGCAATTAAAAGATTCTCTTGGTGCTGAGTCAAACCCCGCTGAGCATCTCTGGTGGAGGGGAACGTCTCCATGCACCCGGCCAGATCCCATCCCTCACCTGGGAGCAGGGCAGGGCACACAGCCCATATGGGGTGGGTACATGCAGCCATCTTCCTCAGGCTGGGTTTGGGTTCCACTCCCCGTCTGTGACCTGTCTGGGACTGAGTTCTCCATCTCAACTCACCAACGGACAGAGCTGCCTTTCAGGACTGGATGAAGGCAGTGCCCTCAGAGGCAGGAGGACTCACAGCCATTAGATTATTATCAACCACTTAATTGCCAGGTCTGATGGACAAAGAGTCCCTGGAAGTCACCGGAGAATGAAGCAAGAATTGACTTGTGTGCAGCCCCAGCACGGGACACGCTGCCCTCCTTCCTGAGCACCTCACCCAACACCTTTCCCATTGTCCCTGGGTCCTGCCTGCCACTTTCTAGCTCCGCTCCTACTCAGCCAAGGTAGAGAGGTCAGCTGGTATTACCTGCCATCTCCACGGGATGAGGGTGAGAAAAGACACAGATATTCCTGTCCTCTCGTGACCCAGAATCATGATGTCCCCTGTGTACCGGGACCAGAGGGCAATGGGGTCTCCAGCCAGTTAGGACTACAGACAGGGAAGAACCGGCAAAAGAGTGGGATAATAACCCTACCGATGGCGCATCTCCAGGGGATCCCCTTAGATGTGCAAAGTGTTCCCTTCCTCCACACGTGAGCCAGGCGGCATAAGGTGGGAAAGCGAACTGCCGGGGAGGATCAGGTTAGAGCCACCATAAAGGAAGGCTGCGAAGAATGACTCATTTTTAGCCACCGTGAAGTTCCTTTGGCCGACTTGCGGCAGAGGGCGCCAGTCCCGCCTCCGTTGGTTTCGTGTGGCTTCCTCATCTCCATAAGGAGAGACAATCCTGCTCCACGTAGGTGGCTCCAAGACCGAGAGAACCCTCCTAGGGAGTCCCTCAAGCGATGGCAAGGTGGGCTTCGGCCGCGCCGGCAACGAAGGTTCGGGTTCCGCTCACCTTTGCCACACCTTTGGGGAGCGGGGATGCCAAGCCCTCGGGCGAGGCCCCTCCTAATTAGCAGGAGTCACCCGCTTCCTGTCCGTGCTCCGCTCCAGTGCAGTAGCAACTCCCAGACCTTCCTAGGCTCGGTCCCGCTCCCCGGCCCCAACGGGTCCCATTCATTCTCCTTGCGTCTTTGCTCAAGGTCTAGCTCCCCGAGTGCTCACACAAATCCACCTCCGACATCCCCAGGGGCGTGAAGTTGCAGGGCGGACGGAACAGAGAGCAGGAGCTCGGGAGGGGGTGGTCTGTGTGGGAGTGATCTGGACTGAGACCTGGGGTGAGCATGATCCTCTGAAGGTGCATCTGCAGGCCCAGGGCACGGACGACGTATGGATCAGGTCCCCGCCCGCGGTCCGTGCGAGCGAAGCTGCTGTTTGCTCAGGGGGACGGGCCAGAGGAGGCGCTTCTCTGCCTGGACAGCGGATCCGGGTGGCACCTGCAGCCAAGCGCCCCGCCGCCGGCTCAAGCCCCAGACCTCGATCTCGCCATGAGAGAGCCGCGCAGGGGCTTCGGCGCTCGCCTCGTCCAGCTCTTGACTGGACTAGGGGGCCGAAGGGAGCGCAGGGGCAAGATCTCAAAGGAGGCCAGACTCCCGGATAGGTGAGGGGAGATGGAGAGAGGCTGGGTGGGGCGTCCCTGGCCTAGGGATATGCGTTTGGGATTAGTGTGTATAAAAATTTAACGGGAGTTTCAAATCTGCACGCGAGTATCTTAGAGCACAGAAATATACGTGAGAATGTGCCATGATTTGGGTCTGTGAACTGTGGAATTTCTCCGTGGACTTTTTATTTTTCGTTTTTGAAGATAAGGTATCCTCATGTAATGAATTGTGTATAGAGCAGCCCTGGCCTCGAACTTGTGACAATCCCCCGCCCAATCTCCCAAGTGCTGGGATTTACATTGGACTGTCCTGTGCCTTTTTTGTTTTTATTTTTTGGAAAACTTAAAGCAACTTTGAGAACTTCCTGTCAGGCAAGCTGCTGCTTATCAACGATTTTCTACCCAGTTACCTCTTCCTGCTGCCTGCTGTGGCCATCTGCTGTGGACTTTGGTTCTTGCATCACAGGCCAATGTTTCTCTGGCCTTTGTGGTCCTTTGTGGTGAGTCCGACAGGTTCTGGAGCTGGCGCTGCCCTCAGACACCACACATGGGTTTCCCGGTCATCCCGGAACCTGGAGATGGCTCTAGGCTGTACCCACAATGAGCCTTTATATGCATGCCCCTTGCTTCCTGCTTTCCCTGAATGCTCTGAAGCAACCCTCCCGGCAGTCCTGTGAGGCGTGGATCCCCTGTGACTCAGATCCAGAAGTAGAGTTTCAGAGACGTGAAGTCACCTACCTAAAGCCACACAGTTGGGAAGAGGTGAAGCCTTGACACGACCCTTAGCTGGCTGACTTCTGAACTCACTTCTCCAAAAGCTCTGTTGCTACGGAGATGGCCAGACGGGAAAGCCACGATGGTAGGCTGCTACCCATAGTTGCCTGCTGGCTGAGTAACATGAGTGAGTTCCTTCGCCTCTCTGAGCCCTTCGTGGTGGGTTGTCTGAGTGCAGAGCAGCCTGCCCTGTGGATGGCTGAGCCTGATGGCTTCCAGGGGACAGTGAAGATCCGAGAGGCCCCTGCAGCTCACAGGCCCTGCGTGAGCAGAGCGTGTGGGTGTGCTGATAGCACTGGGTGTTGGGTGTTTATATGTCTATGCAGTTACTGGGCAATTTGTCTAGATCTTATCATGACGCAGCTGTCTTCGGGCCCTGGCCCAGGAGGGGTGAGGGCGTGGTAGGGGCAGAGGGGAGGGGTCTGTATTGCTCTCTCATCCTACAGAAGGGAGGGGCCAGCCACCCTGAGTGTGCCCTGGGGTGTCTACACCCTGCCTGCGCTCTGCCCACCCCCACCTGGGAGACACACCCTGCCCTTACCCTGTCTGGCAGAAACCTGCCCTATAGGCCCGATAGGTTCTCCCCACCCCTCCACACTCAGAGAGGAGGCTGGCTTGGGGTGCGGTGAGTCAGGAGTGCGGAGGGCAGGAGAGGGAAGGCAGGGCCAGCGTGATGATACATGCATGCTGGGTATTCACTTGGACCCCATTCTTACCAGCCGTGGGAATGAGACCCTGAACTGAGGCACAGGCCTCTGATCCCTGCTGGTTACTCTGGAGAGGGGCCTACCGTTTGGTAACACACTTCTAAATCTTTCTCCCACTAATGCAATATCTAATCAAGCTTTGAGTAGGGTAGTCATGGCAACCTTATTCTAAGGCTCTCTAGCTGTGTACTCTGGAATAAGTGACTGACTCTCTGGGCCTGTTTTTCTTATCTGAAGTACAGAGACACCTGATAGTTTTCTGAGACCTAGCAAATAGGCACAGACCCTAGGGTTGAGCCTGGCACCCAGAGGGTCCTAGTAAACATGAAACACTAAAGTCATCAAGGCACTGTTCTCTTGTCGGGTGAGTGTGTGTGTGCATGTGAGTGTGTGTCTGTGTATGTGTGTCTGTGTCTGTGTGTCTTAGAGTGTGTGTGTCTGTGTGTATGAGAGTGTGTGTCTCTGTGTGTATGGAGTGCATGTGTCTGTTTCTGTGTGTGTGAGTATGTGCTGTGTATGAGAATGTGTCTGTGTCTGTGAAAGTGTGGTGTGTGTGAAAGTGTGTATGAGTTGAGTCTGTGCCATGTGTGTGAGTGTGTGAATGTGTCTATGAGAGTGCGTGTATGTGTCTGTGTATCTGTGTGAGCGTGTGTGTGTATGAGTGTGTGTGAGAGAGAGCGAGAGTGCGCGCGCGTGCGTGTGTGTGTGTGTGTGTGTGTGTGAGAGAGAGTGAGTGTGTGAGAGAGAGCGTGTGTGTGTGTGTGTGTGTGTGTGTGTGAGAGAGAGAGAGAGAGTGAGTGTGAGAGAGAGCGTGTGTGTGTGTGTGTGTGTGTGTGTGTGTGTGTGTGTGTGTGTGTGTGTTGGGGAAGCGATGAGGAAGCAGAGGAAGCAGTTGGTAGGCCTTCTCCAAAGGTCTGAGTGGCTCATCCTGCAGTTGTAGGCCCTGGATTAGGTGGGCAAAGGGCTGCTAGCCTCGGTCGGTGTGACAGCAGGATTCTGCTGATTCTTTGCCCCTGTGCTTCCTCCCCAGGCCCTGGGGCGGCCAGAGCTGCCCCGACCTTGCTCAGGATCAGGGCAGCAACCACGATGTCAGCCTCAAGGTAGGATACCACAAAGTGCGGGAGGGGGTGGGGGCAGGAGCTCTGGAGGGCTGGGCCGGAGGTGGACCCCAGACTTGTGGGCTCTCCCTCTGCTTCCACTGCCTCGTGTGGCCCTGGAGATCTGTCCCCTCCTCTGCCAAGGGGCACGCACAATAACGCCTCCATCAGAGGAGGAATTCAGTGATAGATGCAGAAGGTCACCGCAGGGTCTGGGTGTCAAAAACGTGTGCGTTCAGTGCTGGCGAGCCGGCTCTGTGGTTAAGAAGAGCTTTTGCTGCTCCTCCAGAAGGCCTTACCTCAGTTCCCAGAACCCGTGCCTGTGACATTAGCTTCAAAGAATCCAACACCCATCTTCTAGACTCCGTGGACACCTGCACGTATCTACACGCAGACACATGCGTGTACACATAATTTAAAAATAAAATCAATATCCAATGAGTAAAAGGATGAAATTTTTTTTTTAAAGTGTGTTCTGGGGTGCTGGGGGAGGTCCTTACCCTCTTCCCCCTTGTTCCCACAGCCAGGCAGTATCCCAGGGAAGACATAAGACAGGCCAGGGGTTGCCTCCTTTTGGCACTGGGATGGGGGGCTCTCCCTTGCTTCCCTCATGCCCCATGTGTATCTCTATGCCCACATGCGTCCTCCCGGGCATACTGTGGGAACTTGGGACTGGGAGGGTTTAAGGAAAGTGGCTGCCAGGCGATTTGGTGGCTGGGAGCAGGCAGAGGCTGTATGCAGCTGTGCCAGCTGTGCCCACACATTCCCTAATCCCTAGATTAGGGCCGGAGGCTGGGGACTCGGAGAGATCAGCAACAGGGCTGTGAGGAAGCTGCCGGAAGGGCAGGTATAGCTGGGTCCACTGCTGTCCCTTAGCCATCGGGGCAGAGTGTGGTGCCTGAGAGAAAGGAGGCCTCACCTCCCTGCTGCATGACTGTCTCCTCCGGGCCTCAGTTTCCCCCAGTGTAAGATAGGAGAACAAGGGCTTGGCCAGGGTCCTGCCCCATTTTCTAGCTCTGAGAATCCTACTCAGTTTCCTGTGGGTCAAGGAGGTTGGCCCAGAATATCCAGAGGTACCTAGATTCCAGAGGGGAGATGCCGTCTCTATGTCCCTCACTATGTCCCTCACTACGTCCCTCACTACATCCCTGCCCTGCTTCCCACCAGGTCCAAACCCAAAGCCACTCAGAATGGGACCTTCAGGTCAGGAGCCATGGTGGTTTCTGGAGTCAGAAGCGACAACACATCTCAGGAAGACGAAGTGAACCCCTGGGGAGGCTGCAGAGGCCAGCTGTGGGCAGTGCCTGTGACTTGGCCAGCTGTGGCTCTGCTGAAGCCATTGGTGGTCCCAGCCATACCTCCTGCCCGGAGCCCGCTCCTCCTTGTTTGAAACAGGAATCTCCAGACAATACCAGCCAGCACCCCCAACACAGCACCTCAGAGGTTCTGCTGAGGCCAGAGCCACCCAACAACCTGGAAGACGCACCCCTACTGCCCCGCCCCGTGTCCTTGCTCACAGAAACAGGGGCAAAGGGCAAGCCTGCCACCCCAGGGCCAGCCCAGCCAGAGCCAGAGACCTTGTGTACTCGTCCCTGTGTCAAAAGGACCCGCTACCACATCACTGTCACCCTACAGGGGTGCGGGCAGACACCTGGGAAGGAAGGGAAGGAACCGGCCAGACCAGCTCCCCACCCCTGTGGCCCTGAGGAATCCAGGGGCTGGCAGGAGCCTCCCCAGGAACTCCGCCCTATCACCGGGTGTCCAATCAACCCGCTTGAGGAGCCACAGCAGAGTGTCCCACAGCATCAGGGAAGCGGGGCCCAGCCGGAGCTCAGAGTGGGCTGGGACGCTGGATCCCCACACAGCAGGTGAGTAAAGGTTGGAGCCCGAGGGACTTGATGGTGGGAGGGGTCATCTGGTGTGGCAGCTCCCGCTTGGGTCTCTCTGTCTTGTTCCCGGGCTTCTCAGGTGTGAGGTTCTCATTCATTTGGTGCACTGAGTGTGAGCCAACTCTGTGTCCACTCCCTGATTCTATCCTTCTCTCTCCCAGGCTGCCCCCTAAAACGCAACACTGCTTTCCTCCCCTGCTCTCCATTAGGAGGGGAAATCTCATCACCGGGAGGATGGGCTAGTCAGGGTGATCTTCCTTTCATCAACTGTTATCACTCCTGGGTTCTTTGCAAGAGATCACAGACCCGGCCTGGGAATGGGCTCTCAGCCAAGGTGCTGGGCGCTCAGGCACCGGTTACTTAACCTCTCTGGGTCTTGCTTTGTTGAATGCGTATGGTAGTCAGAGATGAGGAAGAAGGAGGTGGCTAAGGGAACATGCTTTGAACTCCATTGAGCTGGGCTGCTAAAATAGCAGGGATGCTTATTAATTACACGCCATTGGCAGTGGTAATTATCCCACCTGGCTCTGCTGCAGCCACAGGAAGAGGCGCCAAGACTCCCAAGCTTAGGTTTTTATTTGTGTTGAAGTGAGTCTCCTATCAGCCTAGTAGGCTCAGAGCGGGGATCGGTGAGTTCCTCAAAACTCACCGAGGAGGAAGGACATGGGACCTCACTAGGGAAGAGTCCCAGGCCACCAAAGGTCTCTGGGAAGCTCCTACCGATGGTGGCAGCAGTAGCTGTCATCAATGGTTGGTCTTTTTAAGCATAATTTCATTTAATCCACGAAATAGAGGCTGACCTTTCCATCACCCCCAGCTAATTAGAGTGGGGAACTGGGGCTCAGCCAGGGAAAGTCATTTGCCTAAAGCCAACTGGACAGTCAAACCCAGGTTTGTCCATGCCCTAGCAGGCTTCCCTGTCCGTCCGTCCGTCCGTCCCTGTCCCCGTACACCCCCCGCCCCCCGCAGAGTGGCCTCTGTGGCTATGTAGAGCTCGGCGTGGCCTGTGGTTGCTGTGTGGAACGTAGTGTGGATCTGATGGTGCCCCTAACAGAGGGGAAGGCATGGAGACGCAGGTCCCCTTGGGTAGGAGTTTGTGTGCCTGGTTCTGTGCCTAGGGAGGAGGACATGGGTGGCTCAGACTGGCCCTGAGGGCTGCCAGGGTACCCCAGCATGGGAAGACAGCCTGTAAAAGGATGAGGGGGTGAGAAGTGAGCTAGGCTTAGAGAGAGGCAGGGTGGGCTGGGGAACACAGGGCTCTGGTTGGTTGGGGTCTAGGTGAATAAAGACTGGAGCTGGAATCTAGGACCGACTTAGAGACGAAGGAGGGTGATCCCCAAAGACATTATCCTTCTGTACCCACTTTCTGCTGGAGGGTTCTCAACTACTCTGGGGGAAGGGGCAGAGAGCGGCCAGGCAGCATGTGGGAATGTGTAAGCTGTGCGTGTACCAAGTGTGCATCCCTGACCAAGGGCAGTGGAGAGAGCGCTTGTTTGTGGCTGTGAACTGATGGGCACGTGCTGGGGATATGTGCACATGTGTGTTATGGTGTCTGTGTGTTTCCTGGTGGAGCTTGCGGCTTGCATGCCTGTTGTGCCTGAGGGTGTCTCTGTGTGCTTGGGTCTTTTGGTGTGTGCCCTTGTGTGTGGTGGTGCGTGTTCCTGGCTGTGTTCGTCTGGGTGGGTGTCTGTGTACTTTTGTGCTATGTGATGCGGTGGGTCTTCTGCTCTGTGCATACCTGTCTGATGCAGCATGTGTTTGGCAGCATGTGGGCCTGTGGACTGGTTTGGCCTAGTTTGGGGGTGACTCACAGGTAAGCAGAGAGAATCCCAGGACTTGTTGGGTTAGATGAGATTTTTTCCCACACTCCCCCCACCCCACTCCCTCCTCAGCCTCTCCCTTCCCATCCCCACACACCTTGTTTAGAGGTCATAGGTCACCTTGCTAGCAAATCCACTTGTGGACTCAGGCCCTTGAGAAGAGAGGGCTCTGGGAACGGGCTCTTCTGTTTGTGCGGGAGGTAGCTGGGTTACTGGGGTGTGTCTCCAGACAAAGACAAAAATGGGGAGCACATTCCAACACACGTGAAAAACATTCTAGCCGTCATGACTGTCCAGGGATGGGACAGGTGAACGATCAGGAGGTGACCTCCCTGTCCCTAGAAGTATGCAGGCAGAAGCTGTGACCACATGCTTAAGGAATGAATGGCCATCAGGGGGTGTTGTCTCAGGGTTGGGCTGGGCTGAGAAGGGCATGGGGCTGATTGCTGGGAGGTCATCAATAGACTCTGAGCTGACTGCAGCTGACTTCTCTTGAGCTGTTCCTGTGACTTTACCGAGCCCATGGGACTTTCCAAACAGCTGATCGTTTAGCTGTGGACTACTGGGATATCACCGTCCTAAGAAAGCTAGCTTTGGGTGAGTCTGCCCAGTACTTGGCCTTTGCCTCAAATAATTAGCCCCAAATGAATGAATAAGTAAATGGATGAGTTATAACTCAAGCTTTGCCATTTGCCATCAGCGACAAGGGATGGCCGGGGGGCGGGGGGGGGGGGGGACGACGAAGGTAGTGGCTGCCCTCAGAAATGGAGAGGGGCACTCTGTGAGGAGAGACTTTGGCCGCTGAGTTAGGGACTAAGCTCTGTGGGGGAATCTCGGCAGAGAGGACAACTCTTCAGTGAGGATTGTGTGTGTGGGGTCCGGTTGGGCTTTTGTGAGGAGCTGAGTTCGGGCCTTGGGTGTCTGGATGCACCAGTTTTCAACACAGTCTGGCTAGAGAAATCTTGGGGGCCATCCAAGCCTCCCCATCACCATTCACAGGCTGTTAGGGGCCCCATGGGCTCTATCCTAGACGCTGTGGTAGCCACCAGTGGTCCTGGAATTGAGTCAGGCATCTCTGGGCCTCTGAGGCTTTCATCTTGGCCCCTCATAAAACCTGAGTCACTGCTGGGGCCACAGGGCAGGTCAAAGTTCTGGTTTCTTCCAGTTCCTCAGGAAGGAGGGAGGTAGAGATGGGGGAAGAGAATTAGGGCACTGGACCTATTTCTCACTCAGAGTATAGCCTTCCTGGGGCTGGCTCATGGAGATGAGGTACAGGCGGGAAGATGGGGTGGCCCAGGTTAGGTGAGCAGACAGACCTCTTTCGACTCTTCAAGCCTAAAAAACGGCCTTGCCATGTCGTGCCTGGAGATAAGTGGTTAAGGGTGGATTGCCCCTTAAGGTCTGATGAGGGCTTTTTTAAAGGTGAATCCCAGGGCCGGGATGTGCCTCAGTTGGTAGAGTTTTTGCCTAGCAGGTACGAAACCCTGGGTCGCATTCCAGCTCTGTGAAAACCAGAGTAGTGGTGCATGCCTATAATCCCACCACTCAGAGGAGGTCGAGGCAAGAGAACCACAAGGTCAAGGTCATGGCTCGGGAGATTGTTAAGTGGACAAAGGTGGTCCTGATGTCAAGCCTGACAACCTGACCAGTCTCCTCAGTCCACGTAGTCCAAGGAGAGACCCGACTCCCACAGGCTGTCTTCTGACTTCCTCCTGTTCATCGTGGGATACCTACACACAACACGAGAGAGAACGCGCGCGCGCACGCACTCACACAAGCACACTCATTTACTGAATGCAACTTAGGAAAAAATTAAGTTCAAGATGCTCTTTGGCGACCAACATAAGGAGTTCAAAGCCAGACTGGTCTACATGAGGCCCTGTCTCAAACAAACAAACAAACCTCAAAGTGAACCCCAGTCAGCCATGATAGTACAAGCATATAATTCCAGCACTTGCTTGGGAAACTGAGAAGAAGGATAAGTATGAGTTGGAGGTCACCACAGGCTTCATAACTCCTACCAGGCCCACCAGAGTTACATAGCAAGAAACTATCTCAAAATATTAAAAAGGCCAGATGCGGTGGTGCACGCCTTTAATCCAAGCACTTGGGAGGCAGAGGTGGATGGATCTCTATGAGTTCCACAGAGGACAGACTGGTCTACATAGTAAGTTCCAGGACAACCAGGGCTACATAGTGAGACTCACCCTAAAAGAATAAAAACAGGGGGCTGGAGAGATGGCTCAGCGGTTAAGAGCACTGACTGTTCTTCCAGAGGTCCTGAGTTCAATTCCCAGCACCCACATGGCAGCTCATAACTGCCTATAACTATGATTCCAGGGGATCCCACACCCTCATGCAGATATGGATGTGGACAAAACACCAATGCACATAAAATAAAAATAAAGTGTTAAAAAAAAGAATAAAAACAAACAAATAAATATTAAAAATTTTAGAGTAACCACCAAACCAGATATTTGGTTTACCAGATAAATATGTAAACCTATATATACATATGGGGAGTTTGGAGTGTGGCTAAGTTCTTAGGATTGGGGTACAAGTCTCCATTGCTAAGGTGTGACTCTTGTTCAGTCATTTGAACCTTTTAAGTCTCATTGGCAAAATAGAAATGTTTGTTTCCAATTTAGTAATGATTTATTCTTTTTAAAAAATATTTTTATTTCATGTGCATTGGTGTTTTGCCTGCATGTATATCTGTGTGAGGATGCTGGATCCCCTGGAACTGGAGTTACAGACAGTTATGAGCTGCCATGTGGGTGCTGGGAATTAAACTCAGGTCCTCTGGAAGAGCAGCCCATGCTCTTAACTCCTGAGCCATCTCTCCAGCCTCTATGATTTATTCTTTTTAAAGATTTATTATTTTAATTATGTGTATGTATGTATCTGTGTGTGGGTATCTGCAGGTGCCCTGGAGGCCAGAGGCACTGGATCTCCCAGAGCTGGAGTTACGGGTGGTTGTGAGCATCCACATGGGTACCGTGAACTGGATTTGAGTCTTCCGCAAGCGTGGCATTCACTCTTAACTACTGAGCTGTTTCTCCAGCCCACACTTTATTCTTCATGACGTCCAGTGTCCCAGATTCAGGCTCAGTAGGACAACAGATAGCAAGCATTCAGCCAGGTGCCCCAGAGGGTCCCTCAATGTGTGGCTGCTGCTGTAGCTACCAAAACAGGAAGTCCAGAACTCAGAGTTCAGCTTGGCAGCTGTTATTCACTGCCTCTGTTAGTAAAGGGGGTAACAGAGACTCGGGGAGATGAGGGTGGGGCGTAGCAAGAGGGCCGAGAACACGACTCAGCCATAGTGTTTGCCTAGCATGCTGAAGTCCTGGGTTTGATCCCCAGCACTACAAAACAAACAGAAATAAGATCCAGGAGTCTGGAGGGTTGGCTTATCCATTAAGAACACTTGCTGCCCTTGAAGAGACCCGGGGTTCGGTTCCCATGTGGTGCTTCACAACCATCTGTAACTCTAATTCCAGGAGATCCAAAGCCCTCTTCTGACTTCCGTGGGCTCCTGCATGCATGTGGTGTACAACAGGCACATACTCAGGCACACACACACACACACACACACACACACACACACACACACACACAAATGGCAGGGTGTAATGGCACATGCCTTTAATCCCAGCACCTCTCTGTGCCTCAATTTCTCCATCTACCCAGGAGGATGGAATGGCTTCAGGGGAGAGAAATCTGAGGCCAAGTGCATTGTAAGGCCCGGGGTACATGCAGGGTCTTCTGAGACCCATGGAAGTGGCGATGGCTTGTCGTCCATCTGACCACTTCTCATGTGACTCACATGCACACCTGCCAGTGTATAGTCACAGACCTTCAAAGGGACCCTGGGAAGTTCAGAACCAGCGTTAGTTTACAAAGCTAGTTTATGTTCTGTCTCTTCTACTTGATCCTGGCAAGCCCTGTGAAGTACGAATTTAGTCCTCCAGGCCTGAAGTTGAAGAAAGCTTGAAGGAACAGAGACAGAACAAAGTTTGGGAAGGGTTCTGTTTCCTGTTTCCCAGCCTTCCTCTATAAGCCAGTGGGCCAGGACTTTCATCCTCTCTTCTCTCACCTTCTGGGCTCCGCCCGAGCTTCGCCTTTTGGGGACCTGGACAGAGGCCATCACTTGGAAGTGGTTGAGTGAGCAGCTAAGAGGCTCTGAGCGGAGAGTCTCACATCCATTTTACAGATAAGGAAACAAAGCCCCAAAGTCATGTGACTTGCCTGAGGCTACTCAGCCAGGTCCGGGCTTGGTAGTTGCTCTGCGCTTTTGGGGATCCTGCCTTCTACTCCGTGGTGCTCATCTTTCTCCCTTTTTATCGTGCACAGGGAGCCAGGCCACAGTGTGACGAGGACATCTCAAGTTTTGCTGGGGCCCAACATGGAAGAGACGGCTGGGACCCCGGCTGGAGCTGAGGCCCGAGTGGTAAGTGCCACACTGACCTGGCACCAACGGCCTCCTGTCCAGGAAGAGACCAGACACCGTTTTCACAAAGTATCCCTGGTGTCGGGTGCCCGGACGGAAGCCCCACGGGAGGACGTGTTTGAACACAGCTTCCGGAGAGAAATCAATGGCTTTGCTAAGAAGGAAGAGGAGACTATACATTGCCAGGGTCCTGGGGAGGAGCCCGGATCCGTGAACTTTCAGAGCCACGGGCCCATTTTTTCCAAGAAATATATTCCACCCCCCAAGGAGAAAAGGCCAATGGTGAGGCTGCAGGAGGCTGTGGATTGGGGTGATGGAGGTGCCCAGGCTCCCAGAACTGAACCACCAGGCATGGGATCCATGGCTAGGACTGAGTTATTGGTGCCCTTGCCGGGGCCACGGGAGCCGAGTCCCCATCCCGGTGTGGGTGTCACCAGCGGGGGTCCCAGGAACCGTGAGGAATGGCGGGTGACGCGCACAGTGAGGACCACCACCACTACTGTGGTGGGAGGGCAAGTGGACCGCCGAGTGAGCAGCTCTGTGAGTGTGGGGCCGTCGGTGTCCGGGGAGGCCCTGACAAGGGGCCGCAATGTGACCCGAACAGTGCGGGCAGTGGTGGTGAGCCCGAAAGCCGAGAGCTCACCCAGCCGCAGCCAGGCCCTGGAGCTGCTGAGCAACCTCGTACCAGCCGAGCGCAGCCCTCCTGCCAGCCGAATCCCAAGGCTCACGGGGCTTACTTCGCGGAGCTCAGCCCTGGGTGGCGCGGTGGGGACGCCCCTGGGACAGCTGCTTGAGACGAGCGCGGCTGAGCTGAAGAACAACATAACCTTGGCCCCGGTCGCCGATCACCCCACTCAGAACCAGAACGTCCCTGTCGCCCACCCGGTCCAAGACCAAGGCGGTGTCTCGGATGCCAGGGCTGGGGAATTTTCGAGACTGCAGGGAGCCTCCAGTCCTGTCCTGCTCCCCAACCAGACTTCTCAGAACCATATACCAGCACCCTCTTCTCCCAAGCCCCAGGCCCGTGCCTCCTCCTCCCTGGTCCATCCTCCAGAGCAGCCCTTGGTACCCACACACCTCAAAGACCAACCCACACCTCGTGTCCTGCCCTCTGTGGAGGAGAAGGTTGCCGGTCTCCCCATGGCCCCTGTTCTGCCCGGGGTGAAGGGCAGGGTTACAGTACTGGAACAGCCTCCCAGCCCGTCCTCTGTGAGGAGGAAAGCTGTCCCTAGCCCACAAGGCCTTTCTGCCCCGGCTTCACCAAAAAGGAAGTCTGTTCAGGACCCTGAAAATGTGCCTGTTTCTGTTCTTACTCAGAAAGAGGTACTTCCGGGCCCTAGTGTTCCTGTCCACTCCCATACCCCAAAAGAGCTTGTGCAGGCCTTTGGTGCTTCTGCTACCTCATCCTCCGGGCCAGCCACGGTTGTCCAGAGTCTCGAAGAAGGTCCCTTAGTCAAGAAGGAGGATGACCAGGATCCTCAGGATAGCCCTTCCCATCCCGTTCCTCGGAAAGAGACTGAAGGCCCCGCTGCCCCTAGTCCCCTGACCCCCAAACAAGATGAGATTGTCCAGGATTCTCAAGGGGACTCTTTCTCATCACCTACCCCAAACGAAAGTTTCCAGAGCCCTGCCGTGCCCCTTGCTCCGTCCTCTTCAGAGGTCAATGTGTCCCTCAGTCTAGAAGGCTCTCCTGCCCCAAAGCCAGTTGGAGCAGAGGCCAGCATGGAGTCCCAGCTCATCCCAGATTCCGCTGAGGGGAATGCGACCTCAGAAGCATCCAGGGAGGAGGAAGAAGCAGCCCTGACCGCTGACCTGGAGATTTTCCTGGACACACTGCGGAGCATGGAGCCCCCTGAGATCCTCCGAACTCACCGATTGCCCCGAGCTCCTCGCTCGTCCTACCTGGCCATGTATGCCACTCTGCCCGCCATTGAGGAGGATCAGCTGGGGCCATCCATTCCAAGACCCAGTCCCCAGGAGGGACCTGCAATGGAAGAGGAGGAGGAGGAGGAGGAGGAGGAGCTGGAGAACCCCTATCTGAGCGATGATGAGAAGCTTCAGCGCAGGCTGGAGAAAGCAGGGCCCAGCCCCTCTCCAGATCCCCACCCCCCCAAGCCTGCCAAGGTCTCCTGCTCTCCTCTGGAGATGATGAAGAAGCACATAGCAGGTCAAGGCTCTGAACCTCAGCCCAGCAACCGGCCGACTTCGCGCCTGGGAGGCAGCCTTCTCTTCGGCAATCTGGTATCAGCCAACAAGGACACCCCAGCGCGGGAACCACTAGGGTCAAAATTATCTGCTCTGCCACCCCATGGAGCACCAGGCGTCAGGAAGGTGCCTGGACAATTGCCCCTGCTCTGCAGTGGAAGGCCGCCACCAGAGATTCCAGCACCTACCCAGCCCCCGGAAGGGTGGGTGAGTGAGACCTTGGAGGGGCCTGGGAGGTACCCGGCTTCCCCTTGAGTGGTTGAAGAGAGTGGTGTTGGGAGGCCGGGTTCCAGGAGGCAGAAGGCTTGGGTCTGAGCTTAGCTGAACCCAGCAATGCACATCACTGGGGCCTTGGTGTCCATGATAGGATAGTGGGAGTGTATAGATTCCAAAGGCTTGCTGGTCCTCACTGCCTGGAAGCTGGGGGAAGAACGTCTCCCAGCTCCTAGGACAGGGTGATGAGGCCCTGGGAGCTGGGAGCGATGGTGGTAATCTCTGTGGGCTGTGTCCCGGGGGTGGAGGCCAGGAGCAGGATCTGGGAGTCTCAGAAGAGCAGTGTAGGGGAAGCGGTGACCCCGGAGGATTTTGAACGCCCTCTCTGTTCCAGAGCCCAGCGCTGAAGACCCAAGGCAAGCTGAACACCAGACCTGGGAAGGTAGGAGAATGGGGGCAAATGGAGGCTGGCAGGGGGCAGTGCCCGGGGACAGGGCCTGAGGACTCGCGCTGTGTTTTCCCAGGTGACTCTCTTCTCAGAGCCCGGCTGCCAGGGCAGAAGCTGGGAGGTCTGGGGGGACACCGCAGACGCCTCAGGCTGGGCCCCTGTGGCCTCCGTAAGGGTGGTGCGATGCTGGTAAGTGGGTGCCCAGGGAGGGGGGCCCTGGCTGTGAACCTGGGGGTGAGGAAGGTGGTGAGGCCTGTAGGAGCCCCACCAGAGACTGGGTACAACCCCCTACCCTGTGACCCTTGCCTCTCTGGGCCCACAGCTGGATCCTATATGAACAGCCGGAGTTCCAAGGCCAGAAGCTTGTTCTACCTGAAGGAGATGTGGAACTCAGAGCCCTGGTATCCACGTGGAGTACCCCAGGCATTGGCTCCCTGAGGAGGGCTGTGCGGGTGAGTGGTCAGGTCCTGAAATAGGCACCTGGGGGTGATGGGGCAGAGGTCAGAAGGGGGTCAGTATCTCCAAGTCCCTGGCCTTGGAGGCACTGAGAGAAAAAGACATTTGGGGGTGTGTAGGCAGATGGGTAGGTGGGGGCTGTGCCCCTGGGTAAGCAAGCTGGGGAGGTGTGAGCTAACGCTAAATCAGAATTAGGTCAGAGGAGCAGAAATGGGCCAGAGTCACCCACCACTCTGGGCAGCATGCCTTGGAGCTTATTTATTCACTTGTTTACAGACATTTCCCTCTCTCGTGTTTTTAATTAAAAGTTTTATTAACTTATTTATGTGTTTGTGTGAGAAAGTGTGCGTGCATGCACCCACATGCCTCAGCATGAACAAAGGACAGCTTGAGAAGGTCGGTTCTCTCCTTCCTCCATGTGGGTCCTGGAGTTTGAACCCCGACCATCAGGCTTGGAAAGAGGCACCTTTACATGTTGAGCCATCCTGCCAGCCCCACAGACATCTCTCTTATCCTCACTATGTGCCAGGCTCTGTGCCAGGCAACTGGATAGGGGTTTCCCACCAAGATTCATAGTCAGACTCGGAGAGCCTGGGAGAGCAATAGACTAGACTGGGGACTTAGGAATCTCTACCACAGTCGTCCTCAGCCTCCTAACGCTGTGACCCTTTAACACAGTTCCTCATGTTGTGGTGACCCCCAACCATAAAATTACATCTGCTGCTACTTCATAACTGTGATTTTGCTGCTGTTATGAATCGTAATGTAAATAACTGATTTGCAGGATAGCTGATATGTGACCCCTGTGAAAGGGTCGTTTACTCCTCCCAATGGGGTTGTGACCCACAGGTTGAGAACCATTGCTCTTCCAGCTTCCAGGAAGAAAAATGATGATGTGATTAGAAGGAGTGTGATTTCTGGCCTAGAGATGGCTCTTTTTTTTTTTTTTTTTTTTGAGACCAGGTCTTAGATAAAATAGGTTAGTCTCAAATTCACAATCCTCCTGCCTCAACCTCCCAAGTGCAGGGGGTGACAGCTGTATGCCACCACACTTGTCATTTTTGAGACATAGGTGTATGATTTGAAAAGCCAACATAACTTGGTGTTTGTAAAGCGGAAAGGACAGTATTGTTTTCATAGCACAACTTTATAAACTACTGATACTGAATTTGACAAAATGATATTGACCCCTGGAGAGAGGCAGAGCAATGTTAGAAACAAGGCCCATCAGACCCTTGGTGGTGTGTGTGTGGGAATGGGTTTTGTTTTGTTTTGTTTGAGACAGGATCTCACACTGAGCCCAGACTCAGCTAGAATTTACTATGTAGCCTCGGCTGGCCATGGCCTTGCAACAGACCTTCTGCCTCAGCCTCCCACTGCTGTGCTTACAGGCCTACAGGCATGAGCCAACATGGCTGGGGACTTTTTTTTTTTTTTTAAGACAATGTCTGATGTTAGCCTAGGCTAGCCTCAAACTCACCATGTAGCAGAGGCTGATCTTGAACTCCTGGTCCTCCTGCCTTCACCTCCCAAGTGCTGGGGTCCCAGGTGTGCGCCGCTGCACCCAGCTAGACCCCAGAGCTATTCTTCTCTCTCTGGTAAGGGTGATGAGGTCCTAAAGCTCAGGACCTAGTACTAGGTTGAGAGCTGGGAGACAGGGGCGGCAGTGGTCAGAGGCTCTCCAGACGCGCACATGTTGGTGGGCACACTCACGGTAAATCCAGCCCTGTGTAGGAGGGCAAGAGACACAGGAGACAAACAGGAGCTCCAAGGTGACACAGTACTGGAACCAGATGATTCATCCAGCACTGAGTTGGCACCTACTGTGTGCCAGGCACGTGGGAGGTGCTGGGTTGCAACACTAAACAAAAACCACCCTTTTCTGTTCTCGGCTGTCTGGCTTATAGGCTGCATGATCCTGGGCATGTTGGCTTAACTTCTCTGGGCTGCACCTTCCTGTCTGTTTCTATATGGAGAACCTCTTTTGAGGGACTGAACGGTCCCATTTAGGTAGAATATGGCCTTAGCACAATGCAGATGATTTATCATCTGATGAATGAGTGAGCAAATGAAAATGGTCCCAGTGAGGAAGAAAGACCCAGAATGCAAAGAAACCTGCCACCTCAGGATGAGACGGCCAAGGCTAGGCTGGCTATGGAGTGGGAGGAGCAGGCCGGGAATGTAGCTCATTTGGTAGGACGCTTGCCAAGCAACTGTGAGTCCTGGTTTGGATTCCCTGCCACCACGCACAACCAGGCAGAGTGCCACATGCCTGTAATCTCAGCACCCAGGAGGTCAAGGCAGGGGAATAAGTCGAAGGTTGGGGCTGATGAGATGACTCAGTGACTTGTCACCAGGCCTGACAACCTGAGTTTGACCTCCTGGACCCACCTGGTGGAAGGAGAGAACCAATTCCTGCAAGTTGTCCTCTGACCTCCACACACATGCTGTGGTGTGCTTGCGCCCTCTTCCCCCCCACAAACAAATAAATCTCATTTAAAAATAAAGAGGTTAAGGTCAACATCAGCTACATTTTGAGTTCAAGGCTAGCCTGGACTACATGAAACATTGAATAAAAAAAAAAGCCACCCTGGAGCATGGGGTGTGGTAGAGACCTTGCCTAGCACCTGCAAGGGCGTGGATTCTAGACACAGCACCCACAGGAACAGTAACAAAAAGCCAGTCTGGACAGAGGTCAGTACTGTACATCAAGGCAGAGTCAGGAAGTGGCTACCCATCTTGCCCCCTCCAGCAAGTGGGAAGTTGGCCAGAGAGGGGATGACCTTGACACTGTGCAGATTCTGGGAACTTTAGTTTTGGCTTCCAGAAGTCCAACAAGGTATCATTGAGAACTTTGGTCTGGGGTTAGTTTTGCTGGCCTGGTAGAGGACACTCTTCTGGTTTCTGAGAACACAACCAGCTGGGCTTTTCCAAAAGCCCCGGGAGCCCCGCCAGGCTGGAGGACCACGGAAGCCAGGGGCTCAGAGAAGCGGTTTTGGCTTGAACGTCCCTTCTCCTCCGCAGGACTACTGCACCCCGGGGATCAGCCTGTTCTCTGAGGAGGGCCTCAAGGGCAAGCAAGTGATGCTGACGGGAGACTTGAAAGACTCTCAAGGACTAGAGAGACCCCTACAGGTGGCATCTGCCACCGTCACTGCAGGATTGTGAGTCTTCTGGAATCCCTTGACATTCACTGTGCCACATGCTGGGGACACAGGGCAGACAAGAAAGACAGTCCTCCACAAAAGCATTCAGTCTGAGGCCGGGGTTCAGGGGCACAGGCCTTAAATCCCAGCACTTGGAAGACAGTGACAGGCAGATCTCTATGAGTTTTAGGCCGGCCAAGCCTACATAGTGAGACTCTGTCTCAAACGGAGAAACAAAGAGCTCACTCTTCTGGTGGGGACAGGCAGGTTAACAGCCAGCAATAGCACCTAGAATGTTCTGGAATGGGGAGGGGGGCACAGGGTTGCAGGAACATGCCTTTCAAACCAGCTGAAGAGGTGGAGGTGGAGAGCTGGGTGTGGTCAAAGAAGCCTTCCTGGAGGAGGTGGTGCCTCAGTTGGGACGAGCTAGCTGAGAAGCTAAACTACAGGAGAATAGGAATTTGTACGTTCTGTTGACCTGATCTGGCACTCTCAGAGTGGTATGGTCTCAGTGTGTATGTTTTAGTCAGTTCTGAAATCCTGGTGGTAGAAACAGGGGTCAAACCTTAAGTACTTGTGCACTATATGATTGGAGAAGGAGTCCATCTGGAAGAGGGACCAGCATGTGAGACGTCAGTAGTCAAAGCTACAGCTTCAAAAGTTTAGGTCCATGCTTGTAATCCCAGCACTTGGGAAGTGGAGGCAGGAGGATTGCTGGGATTTCAAGGCCACCTTGGACTGTGTCTCAAAAAAAAAAAAAAAAACCAGGCTTGGCCTGGGACTAGGAGTTATTCAGTGGTAGAGTGGTACTTTCAGCAAGTATGAGGTCCAGGGTCCCATCCCCAGAATCAGATTACAAAAAATCCAGCCTGGCCAGTATAACCAGTGAGGGGAAAGACAGGAGCCACCAAGGAAGGAAGACCGTGGGCCTGTGTGTAGCTTGGGGTTTGAACTACTAGGGGTGTGTAAGGAAGAACTCTAACTGCCTTGTGTGTACGTGGAGAAGGCCAGCCACAGGAAGGGAGACCAAGGACAGGCTCTTCTAGAATGGAGAAAGGACTGGGATGTCTTCTCTAGTATTCTTGTGCAAGCCTCCTCCCTCAAAAGCCCGTCCTCCCTTCTAAACCTGCCCTTCCATTCCAAGTCTGTGTCCCAAGGAGTTCAGTGGCTTCTCTGTTCCCCCCAGGTGGCTGCTATACCCCAAACCATTCTTTGAAGACACTCCCTATATCCTAGAGCCTGGAGAGTACCCTACCTTGGAGGCCTGGGGCACATCAGGCCCCACTGTGGGTTCACTAAAGTCCATGAGATTGGTAAGGAGTGGGGGACACCCACAAGCCTCTCTGTCCATAGTCCCATATGGGGCGCCCTGCATCTGTGGGCAGGAGATGGGGGAATAACCATAGGTCAGTTCCTTGGAGACTCAGTGCCCCAGAGCTCCTATTAGGAACTGGACTAGAGGAGAAGGAGGATGAGCTCAAGGTGTGGGGCAGGGGAGGAGATGGGCTTGCAGATCTTAGGAGTCTAAAGATCCAGAAAATCCTAGGTTTCCAGCCTCATCTGTGTTTAAGCACTTCTGGGCTAGCATGTCAGCCATGTCTCCTTTGCAGGGCTGCCCAAGCGTGGAGAAGCCAGGCGAGCCCAAGGTAAGGGGACAGATTCAAGGTCAGAGGGTATTTGGTATGTCTGAGGGGTAGTCACTGTAGCCTGGACAAGAGATAAGGGCACTGTGGGGCAGAAGCTGGGCCTGGAGTGGGAGGGAGGCCTGATGGGCTCACTAGACGCTGGCCTTGGTGAGTCAGGTCAGAGGCAGACAGACCTCTCTTTGAGGGTGGGAGCTTCAGGCTGGTGTTGTGTAGAGACGTTCCTAGAAGGCCGGTCTCTCTGTGTCTGGGTCCAGACGACATCTGTCACCCTGACACCCCTTTCATCCAGGCTGTGGTATATGAGGCCCCAGGTTTCCAGGGGCAGAGCTGGGAAGTAAGCGGAGACATCTACAACCTTCAGCAGCCAGAGGACAGCCAGAGTCCCCAGCTGACCTCGGTGGGGTCCCTGCGAATTCTTGGGGGCTGGTGAGGACTTAAGAGATTTTTTTTTCTATCTGCCCTGGCCCTACAGGCTTTTCCTTGAGGGTGGAGAGTGACTTAGGCTGTCTGGTGTACAGTGGACTATCTTATTCATGGGTGTCTTGCTCACCTTTCCCTTTCCCCCAGCTGGGTAGGGTACGAGAAAGAGGGCTTCCGGGGCCACCAGTACCTGCTGGAAGAGGGCGAATATGCTGACTGGTCACAATGGGGAGGCTACGATGAGTTCCTGACCTCCCTGCGGGTCATCCGGACGGTGAGCAGGAGCAATTGGCTATCTTGCTATCTGGCAACACCCCAACTTCCCCAGCACAATCTAAGGGAAGAATTTGCACCTCTCTGCCCGTTCTTCCTGGCAGGGTTCCCCCATCCACCCCCAGAGGTAGTCTCTCTCCCTCTGAAGGCTCTTCCCCGGAACACACCTGCCCCTCACACCTAATCCCCAGGGTGGGCTGCTGCCTTGAGGTCTGGGCACTCTCACGGGTTGGCCATCAGAGTACGGGGGAAACCTGACTGTCTCTGGGGGCCCAGGACTTCGGAGACCCGGCCGTGGTGCTGTTTGAGGACATGGACTTCCAGGGGCACTGCGTGGAGGTGAGTTCCGCTTTGCCAGACGTGGAGCTAGCTCAGCACGGACCCAGCACGCAAGCCATCCACGTGCTCAGCGGCGTGTGAGTAATCCCCGCCCCAGGCGCAGGGCGGGGCCAGGAGCAGTGCCGACCCCGCCCTCGCCGACCCAAGCCCCGCCCTCCCCGCAGGTGGGTGGCCTATGAGCAGGTGGGCTTCTCCGGCGAGCAGTACATCCTGGAGAAGGGTGTGTACCGCAACTGCGACGACTGGGGCTCCGGCAGCTGCGCCCTTGGCTCCCTTCAGCCCGTTGTGCAGGTGTGTGCCGGGACGAAGGGTGTGTCGCCTCGGGGGCGGGGCCGAGACGGGGGGCGGGGCCAGGCTGGCAAGCCCGGGCTGCTTGGCAAGGCTGGACGGAGGACGGGCGCGGCCAGGAGGGGAGGGGATAGGAGAGTGGGCGTGGCGTTGAGGGCCGAGACGCGAGGGCTTAGGCCGATGTAGTCACCTGTTGGCCTGGCCTCGGCTAGCCGTGTCACTCACACGGGTGAGGAGGGCGTGAGCTCTTGGGGGCGGGGCATCTAGGAGGGGTGGAGCTTGTAGCTGCAGGACCGCTGTATAGCCGCAACGGTTTTGAAGCTCAGGGAGGGGCGTAGGCTCGAGGCTGGCCTCCTCCTCCAGTCACAGCGTTAATCTCTCCCTTCAGGTTGGGGAGAGCGATCTTCACTTTGTCTCGAAGGTAAGGAGGGGGCTGCGCGGGGATCTGGTGGGATCTTGACAGCCTTCGCGGCAAAGCTCTCTTTCTTCCCTTGGCCGTTCCCCCTACCCCACTCCTCACCCTTCGCTCTCACCTCTTCATCTCTCTGTCTCCAGATCCAGCTTTTCTCAGGCCCCAACTTTTTGGGCGACCATATTTCCTTTGAGGATGACCAGGCCTCTCTGCCCGCTTCCTTCCATCCGCAGTCGTGCCGGGTCCATGGTGGCAGGTGAGCAGGAGGTGGGGTTGGAGCACGGAAGCTGGGAGAGGCCAGGGACGGGGAGGCGCGCAGGGGGAGGGCGAGGACACACCTTTCAGATGATTTTCTTCCTTAACATCAGCTGATTAACTGTTATGTCCTGAGTCATTCAACATTAAAACAAATAGAATAACATTTTAATACGGAATGTAACTCTGGAGATACTAGATAGTATAAAGAACCCCAAGTGAGCAAAGGGCACATGCCGGTAATCTCAGCATTTGGGAGGTAGAGGCAGGAAGATCAGTTTAAAGCTAACCTTAGCTCAGGTACATAAGGGGTTCGAGGCCAGCCTGGGCTGCACAAGACCCTGTCTTAAACAACAACAAACATTTTTGTTCCATTTACAACTGCACGTTAAAGGAATCCGAGGCTGGTGGGGTAGCTCAGTGAGTAGGGCAATTGCAGTGCAGGTGTGATTGCCTGAGTTCAATCCCAGGAGCCCGCAGTGGAAGGAGAGAATCAGATTCTGAAAGCCCTCTGACCTTCACATGAGTACAGTGGCATGTGCATGTCCAAACATTTTACACACACACACACACACACACACACACACACACACACCACACACACATTCACATAAACACTTTAAAAAAAAAAACAAAAACAAAACCTGACCCCTTCCAAACTTTCTGAAACTTTCAGGGCTGGAGAGGTGACTCATTGGTTAAGAGCACTTGCTGTTTTTGCAGAGGACCCAGGTTTGATTCCCACCACTCTCGTCAGGCGGCTCATAACCACCTGTAAATCTAGTTCCAGGAGGCCTCTGGCCTCCTCAGGCACCTACACTCACATGCACATAACCCCATCACCATCACCACCACCACCCACACACCCATATACAGATAATTAAAAACAGGGGCTGGCGAGATGGCTCACAAGGTTAAGAGCACTTGTTGCTACTGGAGAGATCCTGGGTTCCATTCCTAGCACCTCCTTGGTGGCTTATGACCATCTGTGACTCCAGTTCCAGGGGATCCAATCCCCTCTTCTGACCTCTGAGATCACCAGGCGTATACATGGTGGCTGTCTTAGTTAGGGTTTTTATTGCCGTGAAGAGACACCATGACCATAGCAAGTCTTATAAAGGAAAACATTTACTTGGGAACTGTCTTACAGTTCAGAGGTTTAGTCCATTATCATCATGGCAGGAAGCATGGTAGCACATAGGCAGACATGATTCTGGAGAGGTAGCCAAGAGTTCTACATCTGGATTGGCAGGCAGCAGGAAAAGACAGTGAGCCTCTAGGCCTAGACTGAGCTTCTGAAACCTCAAAGCCTGTCTCCTCAGTGACACACTTCCTCCACCAAGGCCACACCTCCAATAATGCATTATAATCTGCATGCTAAGTATTTCAAAATTATTATGCTCTTATTGCTCCCCAGAATGGAGCCACTGAGAGCTGTGGGGGTTCCCTGTGGTTCTTTTTGTCTTTGGGACCTTCTCATACATCTGCATAGTTCGTAGTAGTCAGAAAACTACCTCGTAAAGACATTTGAAGCCCATACAGTAGGAAGCCCCTTTAATCCCCGGGACGTAGAGATGGAGGAGACAGGATCATGCGTGTGAAGCCAGCCTGGGCTCCCAGACCTGATTTCAAAAAAGCAAACACCAGCAGACAAAGCTGAGCATGGTGACACGTGACTTTAATCCCAGCACCTGGAGAGCAGAAGCAAGAGCCCAGGGTCACCTTTGCCTGTGTTGTGAGTTTGGGGCCAGCCTGGAACATGTGGGGAAAAGAAAGTCTGAAAGAAGTGTGAAATAATCTTTTTAAAGAAGATTTATTTTTATTTTGTGTGTTTGAATATTTTCCCTGCCTGTATGTTAAGGTATGTGTATCATGTGCATGCAATGTCTGTGGAGACCAAAAGAGGGCGTCAGATGCCCTGGAGCTGGCATTTGTGAGCCACCAGGTGGGTGCTGACAACCAATCCCAGGTCCTCTGCAAAAGCAGCTAGTGCTTTCAGCCTCTGAGCCATCTCTCTGGCCCCTGAAATAGTCACTTTTGTCTGTGATGATGTCACAAGCCTAGTATATAGTTAGATTAATTTAACATGTTTTTAATCTTTAGGAACACTTTCTGTATTTGTTTGCCAGGGTAAAGGTTGGTCCCAGGGCCTCACATATACTACACAAGCATCCTACCAGCGAGCTACATACCCGAGTCCTAATTCTCTGTTGTTGTTTCTATAGTCTTTTTAAGATTATAATTTTATGCAAATAAGCAGGCATGGTAGTGCACACCTTTAATTCCAGCTCTCAAGGAGGCACAGCCACTGAGTTGGAGGCCAGCCTGATCTACAAAGTGAGTTAGTTACAGGACAGCCAGAGCTACATAGTAAGACCCTGTCCCAATAAATAAATTAATTAATTAATGCAAATAAGCTGAATAGTTTTATCTGACGAGCTATAATTCAGGATGCGCAGGAATGCAGGAGGAAGAAAGCCTGGAAACAGAGGGTGCCAGCTGGTTTGGGGCTGATGGCCACGGCCCTGAGGTCAGAAGACAAATTTTGGGCTTCAGGACTCAAGGCTTTCAGACTGCATGAATCTGTCTAGCTGAAGACATGGCGGGAGAGGTGTCTCGCAGCCTGGCCTCACTTTGGAGAACACACGCAGACACCACAGTTGGAAGGAACTTAGTAACTGATTTTTGTTGGTTTGGTTTGGTTTTTTGAGACAGGGTTTCTCTGTGTAGCCCTGGCTGTCCTGTGAACTCACTTTGTAGACCAGGCTGGCCTCAAACTCAGAGATCCGCCTGCCTTTACCTTCTGAGTGCTAGATTAAAGACCTGCGCCACCATGCCTGGCTGAACCTAGTTTTAATGACATAACTGTTTCCCTGGTTCCCGTTGTAGCTAGGTTCATCTAACAGGATGTCATAAACTCTGTGCCTTCAAAAGAGGAAAATAATCGTTTTTTGTGGTTCTTTTTTCTCTCTGCCTCCTCCCTTACTACAGAGACCAGGGCTCTGGTCTCTTCCTGTTGTTGAGTCTGGTGCCTTAGACCCCTTGGCCATCCCAACAGCCCTCTTCCTGTTCTTAAAAGGACACTCATCCCATCCTGGGGCCCAACCTCCCAACCTCTTCTAAACCTAGGTACCTCCCGAAGGCCACATATGGAGAACAGAGGTTGGCCCTTTCCCTCCACCATACAGGTTCCAGAAATTGAAGTCAGGTGTCCAGCTTACCCACTGAGCCATCTCACTGAGCCTTACTTTTTGTTTTGAGACAGGGTCTTACTCAGTTGCCTAGACTAGTCTTGAACTCATGTAGTAGCCCAGGTTGTTCTCGAACCTGTATGATCCTCCTCACTCAGCCTCCCGAGTAGCCACAGTTCCAATGTTAGCCAGTCCCGACTGATGGGCCCTTGGGCCCTCCCACCCCGCCCCTGCTTTGCTACAGCAGTGCTGAATGGATAGACTTTTTTGCATGTGTTACTTCTTGTTTGAAAGGCGGCATCGGAAGAGACTCCTAGATGGCACATTGGCAGGTTGATTGCCTGCAAAGCCTTGTGGGATACCGCCAGATTCCCCTCCAAAGGGCAGCATGAGCCCTGTTGGGTCCTTGTTTGTTTTTGTTAAGGCGGGGTCACCCTGTAGCCCTGGCTGGCCCAGAATTTGCTATGTAGACCAGCTTCTAGCTCACAGGGATCGGCCTGCCTCTGCCTCCCGAGCGCCTGCCTCCTTCTCTTTATTCTTTCTTTCTTCCCCTCTTTTCCCTTTGCAGTCCTTTCTCTCAACCTCAGTCCCTGCTGCTGTGGTGCCTGTCCACCGGGGACCACTCCTGGATTGGAGGAACACCGTCAAGTCCACATGCACTTGGACCCTCAGGGTACCCGGCAGGTATAAGGTAAACTAGGTTCTGGTATCACCTCCCTCTCTGTTCCCTTGCAGCTGGGTCCTGTTTGAGGAGAAGAACTTTGAGGCCGACCAGCACATTGTGTCGGAGGGAGAATACCCCACTCTCACGGCCATGGGCTGCCTGGCCTCCACGGTCCTGGGCTCTCTCCGGAAGGTTCCCTTGGTGAGTTCCTTATCCCTGCAATGACTTCCAGACTCTCAGGGTGACCTTGATTCTGAGGCTCCTAAGCCAGCTCAACTGACCAGCTGTTTACTGAACATTCTCTGAAATAGTCCAGAAACATGAAACTTAATTCGATACAAGACCTAAAGGTGACAGTGGTGTGTCCGGATCAGAGGCAGTGCTGGGATGAGAGAGGCTAACACTCAGAGTGGCTGAGAGGCAGGGCCAGCTTTTGCCCAGCTGATGGCCCATTCAGAGATGGTTGCCAGGGTCAGTTGGGAAGCTGGCTCTGCAGCGGAGAGGCAGGAGGGGCAAGGCAGGAGGAGGCTGCCTCAGTGACCCATAATAGAGGTAATACGCTGTTCCTGGGAGGAGGCTGACGGAAGCCACATGCACACTGTGATGGTGGGAGTGTCTGTGGAGGTCAGGGGAGGGCCTGGTGGTGCTGACAGTTGCTGGTGACCCTTTTCAAAGCTTTGTAAGGCTCGTTGTCATTATTTTTGATGTGGAAACTAAGTCCCAGAGCCGGTCTGCTTTGCTCCAGGTTCCACAGCTGGGAGCAGCCAGAGCAGGCTGCCTGGCTGTACAGCTTGAGCCCCTCCCACCACATAGACTGGGCTCTGAGGACAGTTAAGTTAGACCTGGGTCTGGAGCCCAGGTCTGGGCCTTCAAGTCATCGGTCTTACCTTCTCCAGCCTCAGTGCCATCTCTGCTAAACAGAGATCATGGTAGCACCTGCCTCTTAGGGTTGTTGAGGGGCTGGAATGAGATTAGAAAAAGTGTTCTACCAAGGATCTGGCCTGCAGTGAGCCACAATTAAAGGAGGCTGGTTACTAATTGATGTGATCATTAGTTATCGTCATTGAGATGATCTCAACAAGAGATGATGTCAAGTGAGCTCCCAGTTTTCCAGCCCGGCCGTTAGTTCTTAGGAGTGCCGGCACGGTGATGCACACCCGGAACCCCAGGACTCAGGGAGCTAAGGCCTATGCTAACACACTGAGTTCCAGAGTAGTCTGAACCATTTAGTGAGATCCCTGCTCAAAAATACAATAAAATAATACATGCAAGAAATGTTTCGAAGGGAGGATTTGGGGTTGAGCGGGTGCCGGTCTCTCACGTGCTGGGACTGAAAATCTGGGGACCTTGCTGATAGTAATATCCTCAGGAGCTAGGAGAGCTGCAGATCTGGGGTGCAGGGGTTGGGATTGTAGGACAGAGCCTGAGCTGGTGGGTTTCATGGCCTCATTTCTCCTTCTCTTGGCCCCAGCACTTTTCAGAGCCTTCCCTGTCCCTCTTCGGCCTGGAGTGCTTCGAGGGCAAGGAGATCGAGCTGACTTCGGAGGTTCGAAGCCTTCAGGCTGAGGGCTTCAATAACCATGTGCTGTCTGTGCGCGTCAAGGGTGGCGTGTGAGTGGGGGTGGCAGGCGTGTGGGTGGGGGTGGCAGGGCTCCTAGCTAGGTTGGGTGGACGGTGGGCTGGGGACCCCACTCCAGGCCAGGAAGGAGGGAGAGCAGTGTGGACTGAGGGCCTCTGGCTCTCAGGGCTTGGTTGGATGCTGGGTCCCCAAAACCCCAAATCTACTTATTAGCCTCTTCCTCCCACTGCGGGCCCTCTTCCTAGTGTGAGGGAAGAGGAAGCAGTGCTTCTAACGCCTGTGCCTTGTCTGTCTGTCTGTCTGTCTGTCTGTGTTCCTCTGTGTCTCTGGCATCGGCTGGGTGCAGCTGGGTAGTGTGTGAGCACAGTGACTTCCGGGGACGACAGTGGTTAGTGGGCAGCTGCGAGATCACCAACTGGCTGACCTACAGCGGCACCCAGAGGGTGGGCTCCCTCTACCCCATCAAGCAGGTAGGTAGCAGTCAGCGTGAGTGCCTCTGGGGGTGCCTGTCCCCATGTACCTCTGTGTGTTTCAAAGCTTGACATTTGTGTCCTTCTGTCATGGTTTGTCCTTAGCTTCTTCATACATCGTCATCTCAGTAGATTCCTCTAAATCAGCTTGAAAACGAAACAATTTTGTCCTTGTCCTCAAGGACCATACGATATATATACAATAGGCTGATTGACCCAGAACTGAAAATCATCTCATGTACCACTTACCAGTAGTCGGCACATTTGGCTTTGGGAAGCATGAAGCCTGCCTGTGAGGGTGTGTGTCTGTACCTGCTTGACAAGAAGTTGACTTCATTTCTGCACACATGTATTTCTAGGATATGGCTGTGGCCTGTGTGTCTGTGTGTGTGTATGCACACATACATGTGCCCATCTAAGAGTATGTCATTTGAGGTCATGTTTCTAAGTACTCTGGAGGGGATTTGTATGTTTTTGTGTGTATGGGCGTGGGCGTGGGCGCACGCGCCTGCTCATGCCTCTGCCTGAGAGCCTTCTGAGCATATACATCCATGTACGAGGGCATGTGTTTAGTCTGTTTGTTCACAGACACTTATGACAGCAATTCTGGAAGAAATCCTAGCAAAAATCTCTGACTTGGGGGGAAATAAAGGCCCAGGGAAGTAGACAAGGAGTTGATTTGCAGTCTTGGGCAAGATCCCTCCAGGGATCTTGGTTTCCGTGTGTGTGTGTGTGTGTGTGTGTGTGTGTGTGTGTGTGTGTGTGTGTATTCTTACAATCAGTTGTACCTGGAGCAAGCATAGGTACTTGGCACTGGGCAGACTGTGTGTCAGTTATGATGTATGAATGTGATGACTGCATGGATCTGTGGAATTGCTTGTGCTTTCTGTAAACTGTGCCTCCTTGTGGACTGCAAGTATATCCGCAAGGGTCCCTAGGTACATGTGTAGGTGTCTGTGGTCACAGAACTATGCACATGTGTTACACATGTGCCCTCAGTATGGGTGTGTAAAAAAAAGTATGACTTAGAAGCAGGGTCGAGATAAGTTTGGAGGCAAGGAGGGTTTGGGGGTGTGGGTCTCCTAGGGGGTCCAGGGTTGGGGGTGGTGGGCATCCATCCCTGGCTGCAGTCTCTCAGCCTCTCTTCACCATCAGCGCCGAGCCTATTTCCGCCTCTGGAATGCAGCGCTAGGGGGATTCCTGGCAGTGCCTGACCACGTGGAAGACATGAAAGCAGGCCGTGTGGTGGTCTCTGAGCCCCGAGCCGGGGGCAGCTGCGTCTGGTACTATGAAGATGGACTGCTGAAGAACCAGGTATGATTCCGGAACTGGGTCTGCTCAGCTCCAGGTCTGCCAACCTACTTTGGGAAGTGGAAGGCCGATTCGATCCCAGATGCGTGGAGGAAGCAGAGAATAGGGCTCTTTTCTTTTTCTCACGCAACCTGGAGAAATGGCACACAGTACAAAGCACTTATTTTTGTGAGGACCTGGCTTCAGTTCCCAGCACAAAAATGATGCTTCATAGCCATCCCTAACTCCGTTTCTTCTGATCTCTGTGGGCACTAGGTGTATATGTAGTGCACAGATATACATTCATAAAAAAAAACACTCATAAAATAAATCTAAAAAGGGATAAAGAGACTTGCCTAGGGCCACGGTTGTAATAGCCAGCATTCAAAACCAGCTTATGAGCTGGGCATGGCAGTGCACACCTTTAATCCCAGAATTCAGGAGGCAGAAGCAGTTGGATAACTATGAGTTCAAGGCCAGCCTGGTCTATATAGTAAACTCCAGGCCAGCCAGGGCTGCAGATTGAGACCCTGTCCCAACCACAAAACAAACAACAAAAATCCAGTGTATGAAGGATTGCCTGAGCATGGGAGATTTCCTGTGGGGAATGCAGTATCTAATGATCTTCTGGGGCCTCAGATGGCCCCCACTATGAGCCTACAGGTGATTGGACCTCCTAGTCCAGGCTCCAAAGTAGTGCTATGGGCCGAGAGCCGCCTACCACGCCAAACTTGGAGCATCAGTGAATTGGGTCACATCTGCAGCCAGATGTTTGAAGGCCAGATCCTGGATGTGAAGGGTAATGTAGTCTATGTGTGTGGGAGGGGGCACCCAAGGGGACTGGGGAACATTGCTGTCTCCAGTACCCTAACCACCTCTCAATCTCCCCCTCAGGTGGCCGAGGTTATGACCGGGACCATGTGGTGCTTTGGGAACCTACCAAGGACAGGCCTTCCCAGATCTGGACTGTTCACGTACTTTGAACAGCTTCACTGAAGTTTCCTGCTGGAGACTTTTGCTGGGATGAGACATTTTTTATAGATTGTTGCTGTAACATAAGCTGTTTTCTATCATGCCGCCGCCGCGTCATCTCTCTCTGCACCTTGCCAAGGAGGAAGATGGCCCCACCCCCCACCCCCCACCCCCGTTGAATTTCTGGCCCCTCCTCAGGCTGGTTTCCCTCCTTGTACAGCCTGACCTCGTCACCAGAGGGAGCTCCGGAACCAGACTAACTGGTGTGTCACCCAGTCCGGCCTCCCCGGCTGTGGGGGCGGGGTACAGCCATCACCTGAGCCCCGTCTGCCCATCTCAGTGCGGGATTCTGATGGGTGCTCAGGGCGCAGAGGTGGAAGGCAGAGTTAGCCAGGCCAGACAGAGGAGGCAGAGCAAAGCATTCTAGGATTACAGATATGTCTAAGGGTGAAAACTTCAATGTGCAGTGTGTGAGAGAGATGGGGGGGAGTCGACACCCCAAGAAGCCTTGTCCTTGGGCTCCTCCCTGCTTCTTCCTACTCAAATCTCAAAGCCTGAAGGTTTGGCCTTAGTCAGAAAAGCCAGGAGAAGGGGCTGGGTCCCTAGCTAGGTGGCAGGTCAGGTTATCAGACCTAGAGCTGCAGTCACTTTCTAGCCTTCCGTTGGCACAGGTTCCTGGGAAGACACAGAAGCAGGAGCCCTGGAGACCAGTCTGGGCTTCCTTCTCGCTTTTCAGCCCCGAACACCAGCCCCAAGCCCAGCAGGGGAGAGCGGTTAGAGGGGCCGTTTGTCCTTCCTGCCTCCTCTGGCTGTGGGTGTGGGGGGTGACTCCTGCCTCCTCATCCTCTGTCCCTGTGATATGTGGACAGGTGACTCATGAGATGCTCTTCCGTGAACCTTCCCAGATACGGGGTTGCTTCTGGGTCTACAATACTCCAGCTGGGAACGTTGAGAGAGACAGAGCCAAATGATCTATGTTGTCCCCGCATCTGTCATTATGAAGACACCAAGGCCATGGGGTGGGAGACTGTCTGAACCTGAGGTGTCGAGGGCCTGAGAAGTGTGTGGGGGGACTGGGTTCATCCCTCCCAAATACTCAGGCACAAGTGAAACAAATACAACTAAAGGTGGTAGTGAGGGTGACAGTTTCCTGTCCTTGTCCCTGCAAGGTGACTCTAAGGGAGGAACCTGGGCGAGTGCCTTGGTAGCGCCTTCCCTGCCAATGACCAATGACCTAATGCCGCTGCACACATGACTCCTGGGATCAGGAGTGACCAGTGACCACATGTGGGGCCCCACCTAAGCATAAGTAAAACTTTATTGAGCCCCAGCTGGGTGTTACTTGGCCCCTTCCATTAGTACCTCCCCATTTTGGCCATTGGCCATCAATTTCAACTTCCTGGGATCTCTGGTGTCAACCCTTTCCAAGGACTGGGTTGGGGATCTCTTGCCACTGACGGTGGTAGCTCTTGGAGGAGCACAGGGCTGTAGAAGCGCCATCATCCCCTCAGCCGAGGTAGAAGAGACACATGAAAGTGTTGGCGAAAAGGAAGAAACTGCAGGCGCCCACGTTGATGTGAGATGGGGCCCCACCCTTTGTGGGTTTCGCTGGGAGTTTGATAGTGATGCCGGCGGCAGGGGTCACAGGCTTCGTATCATTCTGCCCCAAGACTCCTGTTTGTATCTGCAAGAGAATTGTGGGGCTCAGGAGGCTTTGAACCTCATGGAAAGAACTCATCCCCCTTAGTGCCTTTCCCCAGCTCTAGGCCTCCAGAAAGCTTCCGTCCTAGGCCCTGTTGGCATGTCTGGCTTCCTGCCTCACCCTAGGCAGTGATGAAGCCATCTCTGCCCCTGTCATCCTCCTCCCATCCCCACAGAAATGTCCTGTCATGTTTCAGGCCACCAGGTCCTCCAGCACAGAGAGAAGCAGAAACCCATCCTTGACCTGAGCCCGAGGAAGGGGTTCCCCTGCCAGAGACATGGGGGTGCTTCTGGGTCTGTGGTACTCCAGTTTGTCTCCGGTCAAGAAGAGTCTATCATAGCCTGGAGTGTCACATGAGACAGGGCTGGATGAAAAGGGCACTGGCAGAATGACCAGATGTGACAAGTTGTCCTTGATGCTTGATCGGGCAGCAACCGAAGCTGCTCTTGATGGGAATCAAACTAGTTTTGGTGCCAATCAAACTGCCCTTGATGCTTGATCGAGATGTTCTTGATCAAGAACTTGATGGCTCCATTTCCTGTATTAATCAGGTCCCTCTGGGCACACAGGTGCCTTGAAGGCTGCCTCCCAGAGTGCTTTAGAGACTGACTGAGAGATTTCTGTCTCTGTATTCCCACACGCGAAGGCTTCTCCTTAGCAGGGCCAGGGACCCCCTGCCTCCTGTGGTAGTCTCTCAGCCACCTCCTCACCCCTGCTAGAAGGACTGTTCCTGCAGCTCCCCTCAACAGGCCTTCCTCTCCATGCTCCGTGACCCAGAATTGCACAGAACCCTTGAGTGCCTCCATGTAGCTGACACCCTGTGAGGTTTCCCCACATGAGACCATGGGCTTCCCCGAGGGCAGTCTGTGGTCGCTAAGACGAGTGGAAGGCCAGGTATACAGGCCCTCCTGGTGTCCCAGGTGGTCTCTTGGTGACCATCTACCTCTGTCCCGGTGGTAGACTAGCTCCCCTGGGATCTTGCATTCCCTCCCTGACCCTAGCCCAGGCCATCAGTGTTGGAGGCAGGGGTCTAAGGAATGTCCTTACCTGAACTGCCACCAGGAGACTGATGGTGAAGACGAGGAGGAAGCCGTTCATTCTGGATCTTCCTGGGCTCTGGTAGCAGCTTTGAGAGGTGAGCTCAGGGCTGTCTGCAGGCCTCTTTGAGTCTGGATGCTTTTGAACTAGGAGGCAGAGGAGATAGGGAGGGTGAGGGGAGGAGAGAAGGAGGGCCTGGGGGCGGGGAAGGGAGCTACCTTCTTTCAAGTGTGGGTGGATGGAATGAGCCTCAAGCTTTCAAGACTTGGTAGATGAATTTTGACTTCTCAAAAGCCCAGGCAGGAGATGAGGGTGACCAGAGGGCAGTGCCCAGCATTGCCTGGGCTTGGAACCACGTCCCAGCCACGGAAGTCCGCTTTCATCGTTTGACAACTTGACCTCAGTCTTTAACAAGGGGGGGAGGGGGAGGAGATGCTGGAGGATCAAATGCAGTGATAATCCTTACTTTTATTTTTTTTTTTTATTTTTTTTGAGGCAGGGTTTCTTTGTGTAGCCCTGGCTGTCCTGGAACTCGCTCTGTAGACCAGGCCGTCCTCGAACTCACAGAGATCTCCTTCCTCTGCCTCCCAAGTGCTGGGATTAAAGGCGTGGACCACCACCACACCAGTGATAATCCTTAATTTTATTTATATATTTTGAGACATGGTCTCTATCACTCTGGGTGGGTTTAAATTCAGGATCCTCCTGTCTCAGCCTCCTGAGTGCCGAAATTACAGACCTGTATCACCTTGCTGGCTAGTAACTTATTTTAAAAAGAGCCGACAAGGGGCTGGAGAAATGGTTAAGAGCCCTGGCTGCTCTTCTAGAGAACCTGGGTTCAATTCCCAGCACCTACATGGCAGCTAACGTTTGTAACTCCAGTTCCAGAAGATCCAACAGTCTCACACAGACACACATACAGTCAAAACATCAATGTACATAAAATAAAAATAAATCACTAAGAAACAAAAAGAGACAAGTCTGCCTCTGCTTCCTGAGTGCTGGGATGAAAGGAGAGTGCCACACTATTTATATTAAAGAGTACTAGCCAGGCATGTGGAAGCACGCCTTTAATCACAGACCTTGAGGGGCAAAGGCAGGTGGATCTCTATGAGTTCAAGGCTAGCCTAGTCTACATAGTGATTTCCAAGACAGCCTGAACTACATAGTAAAATCCAGTCTCAAATCAACAAAACCCCCTGTGTAGTAATAATACCCAACACTAGAAACTGTTATATAAATGGTAGAAAGATTGAGTTCCTGTAATATCAGGACTCGGGGAGGTAGAAGCAGGAAGAGGGATCAAAGGCAGCCACAGATAGACAGTGACTTTGAGGCCAGCCTGCACTACCTGGGCCTGTCTAGAAACAGACAAAGGAACTAAGAGAGTGGGGTGGATACTGCCATCAGTTCTGTGACAGCTCAGGATCACTTAGATTCAGGACAGGGTGTGGAGGATGGGTTAATTTTAAGTCAGGCCTTATTCCCTCTGGGCCTCAGGCTCTTCATTTCAAGTTGATTATTTTTCAATAAATATTTGAAAAAATAAATTTAAAAAATGTGTGTGTGTGGGCTGGGCAGTGTTGGTGTACGTCTTTAATCCCAACACTTGGGAAGGAGAGGCAGGTGGATCTCTGAGTTTGAGTCCAGTCTGGTCTACAGATCTAGTTCCAGGACAGCCAGGGCTAGAAACCCTGTCTCAAAAAAAAAAAAAAAAAAAAGTGTGTGTTTCATTTGGATGTACATATGTTATGTGCACCATGTACATGCGTGGTGCCTGGGAAGGCCAGAAGAAGACATCAGATGCCCGAGAACTGGAGTTATAGCTGGCTGTATGTAGGTGATGGGAATTGAACCCAGGTCCTTTGCAAGAGCAGCCAGTGCTCTTAACTGTTAAGCCATCTCTCCAGCCCTTTCCTGAAGTCTCTTAGGCCCTGGTGTTTTGGGATTTGGGTGAAGAAAGGAGCTGAGTTATTCATGGCACTCTGGGATGGATGAGTGGGCACAGCCGTGAGGACAAGCAGGCACACAGGCTAGCACCCAGGAACTAGGACGAGGCAGTACTGTGGGAGAGTCCCCCAGACTGTTTGGGTAGTGCCCTAACTTATTTAAAACAACAACAACAACTGTGGTCTCAGTGATACTGGGAAATAATTATTCCCATTTGGCTGATGAAAAAAAAATGACTTGTCCAAGTTCACAACCAATGTATCATTTGAACTTGAGTCCAGGTCTGTCTGATGCCTAAGCCATGTATGGAACTTCCAGGGCTGTTCTCGAGTGCACTTTTTGTCATTTTGTTTGCCCTTTAATGTGATGCTGGGGCCCTCACACAAACTAGGCAGGTAGTGCCCAGTCCCTGATTAACTCTTGACTCCCAACCCCGACTCCCTGGCTCACAGCCCAGCTCCTGCCTCACCCATTCTCTCTGGCTTAGTCTATTTGGTGTTGTATTTGCATGCCACAGGGTAAAGGGGATTCCCCTGGTCTTTTCTTATATGGGTCAGGGCCTTTGTCACAATCCTAGGTAAAACCTGGGTGGCTTTAGGGACCTTGATCTCCTGTGATAAAGCTGAGAAGAATAAAAAAGTGAGAATCCAGCTTACAGGAGGAGAAAGGCAGGAAGTGAAGGAGGGATGTGACAGTCGCCCCTCCCATAGATCTCCTTCTTCGCTCTTTATCCTCAGTCCTGAAGGTTCTCAGCTGCTCTCCCAGGGAGAGGTGACTCTTGGGATGCCTGGGAGCCAAGGAAGCAGCAGGTACGCAGCAGCAGGAAATCAGAGGCCCGTGCTGAAGCCCAAGAGTGTCCTGCTGAAAACTGGCCACCGACTGGACAATTTTCTCCTCACTTTTGAAAAGAAGCTAGAACGGCTGAGCCCCAGAGCTGGCCATGCCCACCCAGGTTGTCCAGAAAAGGGTGTCCAATCCTCTGGAATTGGAACTACAAACAATTGTGAGCCACCAGAAATGGGTGCTGGGGTCCGAACCCAGGTCCTCTGGAAGAGCATCAAGCACTCTTAACCACTGAGCCGTCTCTCCAGGCTGGATGTAAACTTTTTAAAAGTATCACTGGGGGGCACACACATGCCCCTGTGTGTGTGTGGAGGCTGGAGGAGAGCTTTCAGGGGTTGTTTTGATCCTTTGTACAGTGTGGGTCCTGAGGATTGAACTCAGGTCGCCAACCTTGGCGGCAGGCACCTTTACCCATCCAGTCATCTCATTAACCCCTTAAACTTATTTATTTATTTTTTTCTTTTGGTTTTTCAAGACAGGTTTTCTCTGTGTTAACAACTCTAGCTGCCCTAGAACTCACTTTGCAGACCAGGCTGGCCTTGAACTCACAGAGATCCATCTGCCTCTGTCTCCGAGTGCTGGGATTAAAGGTGTGCGCCACCACTGACTGGCTTATTTTCATTTAGTTATTTTCAATTAATAAAAACTCATTTTTATTTAGTTATATTTCCAGCCCTGGGTATTGAACCCATGACTGCACAATAAATATGTGTTCTTACTAAACATGTGCTCTACTACTGACCTACTCTCCCAGAAATACTATCTTGCAAAGCCCCACAGTATCCTTTTCAGATCCTGAGACGTGAGGTCTGAGGGGACGTTACCACTGGTGGGGGTGTAATGTGGGGTGGGGCGGGACGGGACATCAGGGTTCTGGGAACATCTTTAAGGGTCATGAGAGCTTGGACATGGAGAGATGTCTGCTGTCTGTCCATAACCAAGAAGAGAAGTAGGGTTTCAAACATTTGCCTCTCTTGGCCTCTGAGCAGCTACATTCTGTCTTGACAGTATTTGAATAGACAGAAGACCGGTTGCCAAGCTGAGAGGGCTCTAAGAAAGCCCCATTTGACAGATGGGAAAACTGAGGGTAAGGCAAAGTTAGTGCTTGACCTCCCAATGGCTGTGCTCCATCAGACACCTTATCTAGGTGGACTCCTGAGCCCTGACAAAGCAGGAGAGTCCATGCCTCTCCTCAGGGATGGAGACCAAATTCCTCAGTATAATGACCAAGCGCCCCCTAGCCCAGTCTTCTTCTCAGCTTTATACCTCATTTGGTAACATCTTCCACTACCCTGTGCATATATACCACTTCCTAGTTAGCCCTCACCCACCCCTGCTTGTTCTTGCCCTGGCTGCCTAGGCCTCAGGAAATGACACCAGGCATTTCCTCTGCCCTTCCCCAGTATTCACACCCAAAGCCCCTGCCCAGAGAAACTTTCCGCTTCCTCTGTGAAACTCCCTCCAAGACGGAGGTGTCCTTTCACCCTCAAGAGCTGCTTCAGCTACCCTGAAGACTACTGTGCTCGGAAGATACTCCCCTCAAAGACCCAAGGGCTTGGTTTCCATGCCCTGCTGTGGTGGTATTGTGTTCCCCAAAATATTGTGTACTCTAATAAATTTATCTGGGGTCAGAGAACAGACAGCCACTAAATACAAAAGCTAGAAAATGGTGGCACTCACACCTTTAATCCTAGCATTCCAGAGATAGAAATCCCTCTGGATCTCTGAGAGTTCAAGGCAACAGTGGAAATAGCCAAGCATGGTGACACACCTTTAATCCCAGGGAGTGGTGGTAGAAAACAGAAAGATATATAAGGCGTGAGGACCAGAAACTAGAAGATTTTGGCTGGTTAAGCATTCAGGCTTTTGAGCAGTAATTCAGCTGAGACCCATTCCGGATGAGGACTCAGAGGCCTCCAGTCTGAGGAGACAAGACCAGCTGAGGATCCGGCGAGGTGAGATAGCAGTGGCTTGTTCTGTCTCTCTGATCTACCAGCATTGACCCCAATAACTGGCCTCGGGTTTGATTTTATTAATAAGAACTTTTAAGATTCATGCTACACCCTGCAACACATAAAACCAGATGTGGTGGTACACTTCTGTAATCTCAGCCCTATGGAGGAGGAGAGGTTCGAGGTCATCCTCGGCAACATAGTGAGTTTGAGACCAAACTGAACTACATGAGACCCTGTTTCTAACAAAACAAGACACAGATCAATAGACAACAGACAATTGTACTGCCTTTTGTGATCTGGGCTAGGACTTGTCACCTTTCCAACCCATCAGAGGGTAGGACATGGGACTAACAGGTGTCAGAGACCACTGAAAGAATAAGTAAAAGTTAAGGTGTCCCCACTGCCAATCCTTGGCACTGATTGGTCTGGTTACTATGGACAAACCCTGACTCTATACTGAGGAGTTACCAGTGTAGAAAAGAATGCATGGGCTGAGAGCAGGGAGGCTGCATTTGGGATGTTTCGCTCCTGAAAGTATTTGTCTCTTCCAGAAAAGATGCCTAAGAAAGAAAGAA